TCTGAGGGCTGATCTTAAGCCCTACCTGCCGAGAGAATCTGTTAAGCCGGTCAGTTTTCTCCTGCATATCATTAAAAGAATGGGATAGCAAAGCAATGTCATCGGCATAATCTAAATCGTCCAGAACAGTTGACAGCGTCCAGCGTATTCCTCTCCTTCTGTCTTCAGTAGCTCGAGACAGCACCCAAAAGATGACAATGTTAAACAATAGCGCTGACATAACACATCCTTGTCGGACACCCGATTTGACATGGAAGCTCAGGTCAGAGCCTCCAACCGAGCAACAAAAGTCAGTGTAGAATTGCTTTATCACTCGGACAATGTGTGCAGGTATTCCATATGCCCTGAGATTACTCCATAGACTCTCTCTGTGCACGCTATCAAAAGCCTTCTGGAAATCAATAAAATTGATGTACAATCCTCTCTGCCATTCATGACACTGTTCAATGATGTTTCTCAAGGAGAAAATGTGTTCTGCACAGCCTCGGCCTTTTCTAAAACTGGCTTGTTCCTGTCGCAGCACTTCATTGACTGCCAAAGAAAGACGTTTCACAATAACCTTAAAGAAGATTTTACTAGGTAGGGATAAAAGAGTGATACCCCACCAATTATTACAGTCAGACAGTGTGCCTTTCTTAGAAATTGGTATGATGACCCCTTTATTCCAGTCACCTGGTATACCCTGACGATTCCACACCTTAGCAAAGAGTGGGTGTAATATCTCTGCTGCAAGCTCTGGATGACATTTAAAGAGCTCAGCATTAAGCTGGTCCTGCCCAGGTTCTTTACTGTTCTTAAGATCTCTAATGGCTTCCACAATCTCTTCTTTAGTTGGTGGTTCAATGTTAATGTCAAGTTCTTCCTCAGCATCCTGAGCAGCAGCTGGCTCCTCCGGAGCCTCCTTGTTAGGTACTTCCTGAAAGTGTTCCACCCATCACTCTTCCTGTTCCTTCTCAGTAGTTAGTAATGCCTCTTGCTTGCTACAGATAGGTGCCTTCCCTCTCCGTTGACCTCCACAGATTTGCTTGGTGATTCTGTAAACTGTACCTTGCTCCTGTTTCTGGGCAGCAGCCTCTGCTCTAGCTGACCACTTAACTTTGGTATTGAGTTTACTGTTCTGAGCTTGTAATTGCTCTTTCAGGCGAGTAGACCTGGCCCCCATAATTTCGCCCTTTGCTCTATGTTGCACGAACAATGTGCTGCGAGATCAATACATGCAACAACACTGTGAAACAGTTTTACTCCTTCTTAGTATTGATACTTCAGTACACTGGATATATAAATATATTTCATTTGTCCTGTCTGAAGCTTAAGAATTATAGGACTGGAGAATTATATATAGTACATAGTATATAGTATATTGTGTAGTTCCAGAAAATATCCATACCTCGATCTCCCACAGAAGGGATTTTTTCCAAAACCCCCCCTACTCCTCTGGAAAATCCAATTAAACTTGATACAATTCTTTAATTTTTTTGGTCTTAGAGAACCCCCACCCCCCCTCCCCAGGAAATTCCAATCCCTTCTGTGGGGGAAGTATGGATATTTTCTGGTACTGCACATTTGCCGTGTGTGGTTTGATATAGCAATGACCAGCGGTCACCTTTCTTTCGCCTCAGTTGATCAACAAAAAATATTCGTTGTCTCTACCCCAGTGGAAAAGTTTGTGTCACAGGTGACCAGCTACTGCAACCAGGGTGTTTTTCCCAGTGACAAAGGGGGCAGAGAAGAGAGAGCCTGGGAACGAGGTTGAAACCACTCTCATAAATTACAGTGACGTCACAAGGTTGTTTTTAGCCGCGCCAAAATGGCCGCCATTCGGGCTCAACATCATGCCGACTTAGGGCAGCTAAAAGAGTAATTTTCACGTGCTATTCGCGAAAAAATGGAAAGAATTTGAAGGAAAGTTTCAAACTTCATTATTTAGCAAAAATCTTCAATACGAAAATTTCGTTTCAGTTGCACTTTTAATTAAGGCTGTTGCGACGGAATCACCTCGAATGTGATTTTAGGCTTACCTTCAGCGGTCGCATTTGTAAAAGGAGGTCCCCACGTGTTGATAACTACTGGAAGAAATTTAGAGTTTGCAGCTTCACCGCGCTGCAAAAACTGTCCATGTGTAAGGAAAAATAACGTGAAAATTACCACGGAAAAGAAACAGCATTTCCTCCCTCCTTCCATCCTAGCTTCACTCGCACCAGTCTTCCCAGATTGCGCGCGCGCGTTCGCGCGCGTTGGTAGCATCAGGCGGTCGTAGCTTACATGAAGATTAGGTTGAAAGTGTCACTCTTATAGATCGACTTAATCCCTAAAAAGTTGTATGTAAGCAAATTTGAAATTGTGTTTTATGGACAGGTTTATAGCGGAGGACCTAGCAGCTCGAAATGTGNATTTCCTCCCTCCTTCCATCCTAGCTTCACTCGCACCAGTCTTCCCAGATTGCGCGCGCGCGTTCGCGCGCGTTGGTAGCATCAGGCGGTCGTAGCTTACATGAAGATTAGGTTGAAAGTCTCACTCTTATAAATCGACTTAATCCCTAAAAAGTTATATGTAAGCAAATTTGAAATTGTGTTTTATGGACAGGTTTATAGCGGAGGACCTAGCAGCTCGAAATGTGAGTTTTTTTCCTTGTGCCTCGCATTATTAAGTGTAGAGCGTGTAGGGTATTTTTTTCACACTCTGAAATTACGATTTCCTAACAACATTTCAGTCGAACAAGTTAGTTGTAGTGCTTGGCTCTTAGTTCTTCAGATCCTGAGGGCGTGTATTGTTATTGAAAGCTAATGACTTCCTTGAATTCAAAAATGTAAGTTTGCACGGATAGAGTTAGATATGTATAAGCATAGTTTTTGTTCTTCTTGTTTGGCACTCTGCGCACAGTTTTAGGTCTCGATTTATTCATGAATAAATGGAGACCTAAAACTGTGCGCAGGCGAGATGGACATAATCATAACCAAGTAGAGTGTAAACTTAAATGCGTAGTGGCCTGCCTGGTATATCACTGCTTGTATCGACTTTGATTCTGTAATGATCAACTGAACAACAAGGTGGGGTTTCCTTTTCTTTCAGTACAAAGAATTCCTCCAGTTATACAACAAGCTTACTCAGAACTGTTTCATTGCCTGTGTAACCAATCTGAACTATCGCAAAGTAACCACAGAGGAGGTGAGAGTGCACCATCTTCCTTTTAAGCACCTGTCAAAGTAAACCTGTCCTTCTCCATCCCCAGGAGATCCCAGGATATAGGTGGAGAATTGTTCCGTGAAGTGCACAAAAACTAAAAAATGTCCCACCAATTGTGAAGAAATATTTTCTGGAAATAGAAGAAATTACCCATCTCCCCGAGGCATCTGAAGATGTTGCTGGATGTTGCTACTGAATTTGTCCTTGAAAAGTTCAATTGTACTGTTCCAGAAAATATCCCAAACCCTCATACAGAGGGTTTTTTGGTTTGAAACCCCCTCCCATACCCCTGAAAATTTCACTCATTTCTTACTCTGTAAAACATTTTGGATTTTGAGACCCCCCCCCCCCCCCCCCC